AGGAATGCACTCACGTAAGAGTTCACCAGTTGCGCGATAAACGAAGTGCATATACACTGATATTCACCCTGTTTAGCGATTGTGTCACGATTATGTCCGTTACAATAACGATCAAGTAACCAATTCGATGCTTTGAGTGTTTTTTTTTGGCGTATAAGTTCGCGTCGCGTCGAACCTCACATATTCCGCGCGATTAACACAGATCTCCTATTACAGGTAGCGACCTTCTAACGAGCCTCACGACTACGTTCGATCGCAAGTGGAGGTCCCTCGTCAATCAGTCATTTAATCAAACACAGCCTCCTCCGGAATCCACAGCCTGCAACAAGGACGACATTACAGTGCAGGAACATCCAGTGCAGAAGTCGAGCACGTCCTTGAGATTCAAATATCCGTCTGCCGAAGCTTATCGCGATCCAAGTCTTCATAAATCGCTCGACAAGAGTCACCTCTCTCGCTTAAAGGATGTAAGTACGCGATATCGCGCATTGTAAAACTTCCGAAGCATTGTCGTTAAAGCGAATGGACTGGAATGACTATCTCAAATAATAAACTTTCGTCTAGATTTTAGCGAAAGCGAGGACTTTTATTATCATCATAAAAAATTCGCAATGTCATTATCAAATCGTTATTACAATAAAGTAATTAAATAACGACAGTTACAGTAACTAGTTGCTTCCATTTCCTGGTTATAGTTATTATTTATCATTATCATCAGTTTCCATTTCGTTTACCGCAGGACGTTCCTGAAAAGGACACCGACTCAACGGTAGCTGATGACATGCCGCATCCTTTAGAATCCGTCACGCCAAACAATGACCGCGGCGCGAACGACAAGCAGAGATTGGAAACGAAATCTACGACAAATCACACGACGGAAAACGAAGATCAAAAAAATGTGGACGAGGGGGACGATCGTCTGCGTTTGGGAAACCCGAAACGATACGAACTGGCGAACGAAAAGAATCTTCAGGAAAGTAAATCGGAGAACAACGACATTAGTGTAAAGGTGGAGGATAACAGTAGGAGTCATCATTACGAGACCGGAGATTCCAGTTACTCCAACAAACTGAAAAAATTTGAGAGCTTGACAAATTGTCAGGCGAGGTCTCGCCTAAAACGGTCGGAGTCTCTGAATAAGAGAACATGCGAGAACACCACATCGCGATTAAAAAGATCGGAAAGTTTAAATAAACACTCAACCGAGAGGCTATCGCCGCTCAAGCGATCCGAGAGTTTAAACAAACACTCTGATAGATCGGAGTCGCCGGGCAGTAAACTAAAACGCTCGGAATCGCTGACGAAGACTGAGAAGACTGAATGCAATATCAGCAAGCGGCGACAATCGGTGCGAAAAGAAAGCGCCACGAAATTAAAGCGGAAGAACGGGATGTCGGAACGATCGATCAAACGAAGGCACACTGTCGGCAGCACTAAGGATTTTGACAAGGTGCATTGGCTCGATAATAAACTGCAATCGGAGGCCGAGCGAGTCATTAGAAGCGACTACAGACCGAAGAAGAGCCAGCTCAGAACCAGCTCCCCCGATCTCAGCACCAATCGAGTTGGCATGGCTGACACGAGCTTTCTGATCGAGGTGAGCTTTCGTGGACCCAGTAACGTCGTCTTCAACGTAACCAACGCCGCTCGGCCGCAGTCATTGCCGGATGCGAGTCTCGCATCCAAGGTTTTCAAGGTGCCCCTCGAGAGTCACGTATAATATACACTCGAATAAGTCACTTGATATATTTCTATATTCACCTCTGAATACATGCACGCGGTGCTGTTGTCATATCTATATCTACCTGCCATCATTTTTAATACTTCTACCGGTTTATATTATATATAAACGGAACTATATCAGATTTTTATATACCCCATAATAATTGGATCGCATCTAGGTTTGTTTCGCCGGAAACGCTGACATTCATTAATCGCCAGTGTGCCAAAAAGCTATCATTCTATGAATCATTTATCGTTAATCGTTAGTCGAATGATACTATCGAAGATTCAGGCTAGATGGATTAGATAAAGGAGAAGATATCTATCTTCACGTTCTCTGCACCGCAATGTTTTAATCTTTAATTGAGTTTAATGTTTAACATCAAATCGTTACAATGATCGAAAATCGTTCTGGTTTAACGAACCGGAAACCATTAGACTCTTTTTCTTTAAAGAAAAAGATAAATACATTTTACTGATCTGCGGATAGCAAAAATGGAGCTAATCTGCATTGAGGCAACGTAAGAAAGTTATTTAGTGATTATATATTGCATGTGGTATCTGCATTGTGTCAATTTTATATATATTAATATATAGATAAAAATAAATACATATGTATACACATTATCTTTTATTTGTGAATTGTGATTGTGACATTTTTTTGTACATACGATGTATAATGCGAGCTGATTCGATTAAGCATTAACTATAGTAAGGTGACTATATATATTTTACGTCTTTAAATTTATATTTTAATAATCACTTAATAATCATTGCAGATGTTCTACATGCGTGCGAAACTAGCTCGATCCTCGTGTGCGGATTCGTATTGGCTATACGCGAGAATGCACTATTTTTAACGCAGATATGACATAGGTGATCATTAGGATAAAGATAATGACCGTGCATGCGTTTTGTAGGCTTGTAATTGCCGAGTTTCCACGACATGTAGTCGCGAGCGATCGGTACACTTGAAAGTTCTTTAAAAAGTAGCATCCATAGTGTTAAGAAACTTTTTTTACGTAAGCTCTCCGATGAAAAGTCTACAATGTGATAAAAACTTAATTGATCGCGCGCCTGTCAATGTACGTACACATATCGTTATGCGTACTACGGTTGTGTTGCGTGCATGCGTGCGTGCATGCAAAGATTTACACGAGCGCGTGAAAAACCTATTTTCTATGTGCATTGTGATCGATATTAACGATCAGTCCTGTACTCTGCTGCTGTTGCGTCATTGTAAATTTTATCGTAAAAGGCAAGACGCGAACGGTGCCGTCAATTATAATATACATTCGGTGCCTCGCACAATGTGGAATCTGCCCGTTTTAAAGTAAATGACGATGAGAATTCCTACGCGAATCTGTTAGGATCTCGATCGTTTCCCCAGATCGGCCAGATTTCCCACTGTGCCCCATTACGAGGATGACACGTTAACCGGTGCAACACGTATGTGTATTGCTTGTATTGCCGTAAGATAGTTACTCAATATCTCAGATGCTTGGGTCTCTTGTGTGGATCGTTAGTGTTGCATTATTTGTACCCCGAGAACTATATACTATGCAAAACTTTTTGCCTTTATCTTACCTTTGTAATTTGCGTTTAGCGCGCCGCGTCGTATTGCATCCAAGCTATCGATAAGCGAATATCAAACGAGAAATCCACTCGTTCAGTGCCGCGATTGTGGCTGGTGTCGCGCCCGGAATTTCAACCACGGATACACGAAAAAAAATGTATTAACAGCATTAATTAACAGCAGTCTAATTGAAAACAGCCTTATTAAATCATGACGTCATAAGCGAGAAATGTCACGTAAATTTTTCTTTCATGCCATTTATAAATAGAAAGAATTTGGATTAAACGAAATGATTAGATCGTTTTAAAATACTTGTAAATATGAGCCGAAACTATCCTTATTTATATGAGAATCAATAATTAGTCGAAAAAGCATGAATAAAAACGTAAATGTACTTTACGCCTATTTTCTGACTGTCAGGAGAAGTAAGGATAGTCTCGGCCCGTTTTTACAAGCGACTTCATCATTTTATTTTTTTCATCCAAATTCTCTTTATTTACAAATGGCATGTAAGAAAAATCAACGTTCGTTTATGACACATTTCTCGCTTATGACGTCAAGATTCAATATGACTAAGATGAGTACTCAAAAGTCTTAATAAAATATATAATATTTTATTAAAACATGATGTTTGTTTTATTATTATTATTGAATTAACAAAATTATCTTCACCTAGTTATAATTATACTGTTAATAAATCTTTTTTCATGTACGATATCCGAATTATAGAGAAGTCTGTATACGCGACATATTAATCGCGACTAATTTTAGCCTTAATATACATGTAGAATTCACTCGGGATCGGCGCAATATGTCCTACGTTAAGTTTATGTGTTAAGATTTAATCTGTAAATACGTATAGCTAAATTTTTTTTGCAAATCACCGTACATCACGTGTTATCTCTTCGTCTATCCGGAACGAGGCGTTTAAACAACTTTACGTAATACCAGTTACTGTCGCGCGAATTGAGAAATTCGAAGCGTAAAGTAGCCGAAGACAATCGATTTGATTATGCATGTAAATACAAATGTAACTAAATTCTAAGAGATGACGATAATAAGAGCGATAATTTATTTCGAGAGGGATATAATGATTGTGATCGTGTTATTTATTATTAGCCCAAGTGGATATGTTCATCGCAAATTCTTAAAAGAACACGAAATTGTAAATAAATATATGCTATGAGATTGATTGATAGCTTTCAAGTGTTTTGTATCCTTGTCTTCTATATAATTTAAGATTAATTATATTATCTCTCTAACACTCAACATTTTTGTATTTGAAAAAAATTGCATATTTACATATGTAATTGCATTTGTAACTTTGAAGTAACAATGGATGATGATATACAACATGTATACATATGTAAATCATTGTTATAAAAACTATGTTACATGGCATATATATATATATATATATAACATTTTTAGTATGAAAGTTGGCAAGATATATAATTTAAAGTTAAACAACGATGTACACTACATTTTGAACATTTTATTTTAGAAACACTTTTATACTTTGATATTTTGCTTCATTTTTTCTTGTTGGAAAAGATTGACTATTTTGTAAAAAAAAAACCGTTATAAACAGACTTCTTAGTTATAAAAGAATAATATGCAAACATATTACTTCGAGTAATGTGCACTGAGTGCGTCCAATTGAATTCGCTTTTAGTTATGTTGAAAAAATTAAGTAAGACTTAATAAATATAGATATATGAATATAGACACACATAAGAATTCAAATAAATTACATGGCGTCATAGAAGGTTAAACTTCAAGCGACATTTCGAAAGATTTGATTGGCTGGATTTACCACATAATTATGAGAGGCTAAATTCAGATGATTCTCGAAAGAATAATGTTGTTCTTTGTGCAGCTGAATTTTTTCCTTTAAGTTTAAAACATGTAGTGCTGCTACAAAAAATATATCTATTAAAATTTACACGGCAAGCTGCAAGATCTTTAAGATATTCCATAGAACCAGTTCGCCTCCTCGCTGAGCAAAATGAATGTGATACAGGCTGCTCCGCCGAGAGGACGGCGCGCTTATGCGAGAGGCAGAATCGTTTCAATATCGAACGCGCAACGCGTCACGAATATCTTTCCAAAATATCGTAAGTGGCACTATATCACTAAAAAATTTATGTACATCTCATTTTCACGATTTACCGATTTACATTTAAAAAAATTAAGGGAGTATTCTCGCTTTTAGTATCATTTTATAATCACTTTTTAGGAAATTTTTTTTAATATAACAATCATAAATTTGTTACATTTGTTCCTCGATATTTGAATGTTTTTTTTACAAATTTCTTTAAACATTATAAACGATTTTCTTGGCGTTTATTAACAAATTTATATGTAAAAAATAACCGTTTATTATTATTATGATTTAAGATGCAGGTAGTTATCTGAAACAAAAAATTCAAAAAGATTCTTAATCTATAAAATATAGAGTTCTCGTCCGATCTACAATCAAATAAAAATTTCAACTTTTTAATTTTTCATGTAAGGAAGAAGCGAAAAAATAAATAAAAAAATAAAAAATTTTTTTCAATCTTTGCCATTTTTACAAAAGTTAATTTTTTAATTTGATTGTTGGTCGGACGAGAACTATATATATACTTATATAGATTAAAAATCTTTTTAGATTTTTTTGTTTCAAATAATTCCTGCATCTTAAATCATAGGAAGTAAACGGGTATTTTTTTTACATGCCCATATAAATTTATTAATAAATATCAAGAAAATCGTTTATAATGTTTGAAGAAAGGACTATGCCCAGTTTGAGCCCTGGCTGAACAGCATTGAGACCTAGTTAGGATTGTAGAGCATCAAAAAAGGATTAAAAAGTTCCATATGCACAATTTTGTAAAATGAGTCCCTTGAGTGCTACAGCTGTTCAAAGTTCGCTATTATAACCATGTATTGTGTACCATGTAGGACTGGTTTTATTCGATTTCTCGAATCATCTAGTATCTGGAATATGTCCAATCTTGACAAAGATAACTAAAGCTTTTTGTGGACTCAAATGAATAGTTATAAGTGATATATATTAATCGAAGAAGAGGGGAGAGAGACACTCAAAGTATGAAACAAAAGGTTTTAATTGCCTAATTGAAATGTGGCCAATATAGCACTCAGGAAACCTCTCCTATGAAGTTAGGCTTATGGAATTTTTGATTCTCTTTTGATACCTTAAAATTTTAGGCATGTCTCAAAGTTGTTCACCCGGGGCCCAAATTCCCTTATAAAACTGGGCATAGTGTGCAAAAAAACATTCAAATATCGAAGAATAAATGTAACAAATTTCAAATTTATAGCTGTTATATTAAAAAAAATTCCTAAAAGATGATTATAAAATGGTATTAAAAGCGAGAATACTTTAATTGAATTAATACCACTTAACTGAATTAATTTAATTAATATATAAATAAGCGAAAAGAGTTTTATTCGGTCTAGCGGATCTTGATGCTTAATATTTTTTTTTATAAATTCATATACATTTTTCCAGTTTAATTAAGATAAAGTTTAATTCAATTAAGATAAAATTTCAACGAAGTTCTTAACTATCATTACACGACTCCATATACTTCATTTCTAACGGTCAATTGATTGAGGTCGATTGCGGTTTACGTCTGTGATATTTACCACAATTTTTCATCAGTTTTTAAATATCAATACATTTTCAATTTTTAATCTGGCTGCGTTCTCCGTTTTGCCATTCGAAACTTCGTTTTTCATGGATATACTATTTTTACGGACGTAGAATTCGATTCGGATTTTCTGAGACCACTGGCGAATTCTGGACCCGTAAATTCCAATGCAAAGACGCCAAGACATAATCGCAGAGAAAACTACGTCTCTACATCGTCCTATTTACCGACCACTTCTCGCCGTAGGTAGGATGAGCTATAAATCTCGCGCCTATAAATCTCTTTTACAAAGAAGCTGATTCTACAATATTTGTCAAAAAACGTCAAATATTTTTTTTTCTTGATGATTAACTTTTAACTTCTTGGTATTCTTATACACAGTATAATTGAAGATAAATAATTATCTAAAAATTAATAATGAAGAAAAGGAATGTGTTTTGTTTTAATATGTTCAGTGTGACAAATATTATATATTAAAATATTATATTTTATCTTGATATTTTTAGACATTTTACATTACGGTTGAAGATTAGAAAAAAATTATAATATAATTATGATAAACAGATATCATAATATATTTGTCAATAAACATGTCAAAACAAAACTTTTCTTCTCTATTAATTATTGGCTTTTAGATAATTTAATTTTTATATCCTCACACAGTAGAAATATTTCGTATTTGTGTTGGAAACAGTCCACTAAAGTCCTAACATTTTGTATTCAATTTTTTTAACATATTCGAGTGTTAATTTAACATAATATGATTCCCCTACAACACAAAGTTGCACAAAAGTTGCAGTAACACTGCTGTAACATTGCAACAACATTGCACGTTACAGCAATATTGCAAAGATTTTGCAGCGATATTGCTGCAAATTCTGTGCTGTATATAGGTTGTGTTATTTAAATAGTTTGAGATACATGAAATGAGAGAGTTAAATTTTAACACAAATTTTCCAACGGTGTATAGGTGATAGAAGAATAAATCGATTTACGTAAAAAAGTTATATTTCTTATTAAAAAAGGTATCTACATTTTTTTCTAAAGAGTCATCCTTGTATCTATAAAAAAATAACACTATTTTTCTTTCATTTTTACCCACACAACATACTTCTTCGAGAGACTTGGGAATATCCTTAGGACATCCCTTGGAAAATTATATTGTGTAGGTACTTAGAAGAGAATTATAAACTAACCCAGAGAGAGAGAGTTTAGAAAATCACTTTGTATAATCTTATTTTCTTGATATTTTTCATTACAAAATATAATGTCTCGATATCTATTAGCTCGATTAATCCTACGAAATCGACGCCGTTCGGCACGTCCAGCAACGCTGAATCCTGCATAGTGATTGGTGAGTAAATGTAAAATGATAAATAACGCAAGTAACTTACTCTGCCTTATTCACGGATGTCTTATTCATCATAGCGTTAACTGCCGGCCGAGGAGATGCCAGGAACGAAGTCGGTTTGGCAGCGATAGATCTTCAATACCCATACTTGATTCTCTGTCAGATCAGCGATTGTCAAACATATGTGAATACTCTGACGAAAATCAATGTTGTTGACCCGGTAGAAGTGAGCACGTTTAGATAAAACTTTTTTAAAACAGAAGATGAATTAATTAAACGAATCAAAGAGATCATTAATCTGATAGAAGAAGATTAATATTTCATGGGTTACATCTTCGTCATGCAATTTCTTCTCTTTTGTTATGTTTTTAAGATACTAATGCCGGAAACGATGTGCGAACATCACGGTCGTGGGAACAAACTGTACAGATCGATTAAAGAGAAATTTCATGCACTCAACATCACGCCGATTTCGCGAGTACACTTCAACGAGTCCACCGGTATGGAACGCGTGCGAACTCTATGCGCCAGAGAATACTCGACCGTGGAGCTGATAGTAAAGCAAAAGTAACGCTATCAAGATTAATCTTAATTAACTCTACGTTGTTCATCTGGTTTGTTTTAACATAATTACTCGTGGAGTATTTTTGATATTCTAATTATGTCTTAACATTGTGCTTTTTGCTTTACAATTAAATAAAGATTAATAATATTTTATCCAGTCTCTCTTTATAAATAAAGTTAAATGCAAAATCTTTTTTAATTGTAAAAAAATTTGCGCTAAATATAATAAAGTGCAGTATAAATAGTATTTATATATTAAGCGAATTTATAAGACAGGAATATCCTGGACACTCCACGCGAGTAAATAAAGAGTTAATTGTATAAAGCTCCGATTACGCCCGCTATTCATAATAGGTTCTTATATTTAAAATGGTCTTAAGTACAGTTTTAAAGATATCATAAGCCAATCATAAAGCTGTATTTATATCTTAAGACATTACTTAAGATAATCTTAAAATAACAACCAACTGTGAATAACGGCCGCGGCTATCTGTTTCGACCGTAGGTATTACGCTTTAGCTGCCGCTGCGGCATTGCTGAAATATGTGGAGTACGTTCAACACATGGTTTACGCTCCGAAATCGATGAGGATAGAGTTTCAAGGGTCGCCGAATACCACAATGATCGGTAAACTATAATTCGAACCCTATGTTTCGTACAAAAACGATGTCGGTGGTAAACGGTACTGCAATCGTCATTGTACAGATATAGAGAGTGCACGAAGTCTCGAACTGGTCGTCTCGCAGTCCAAGCAGTCCATCGTCAGTCTGCTGGGCACGATGAACCGCTGCTTGACCCCTATGGGCAGAAGACTCCTGCGCGCTTCCATTCTTCAGCCTTCGTGCGACGAGTCTTTAATCGCCAATCGACAATCCTGCGTAGCGGAATTAGTGTCAAATCATTCTCTGTGCATCAGTCTTCAGGTTGTCGTGGCTTACTTAGACTGACATTCATAGGACAGTATTCATAGTTCATTCTTATTTTAATTAATTTTGGTATCAACTATTATAAATATTTAATATATTTATAGTTCTTTAACCATACCGATTATACACATATTATAGCTATTTCAAGTACATTAATATTTTTTCTTTTACACATTTTTTAATTATTATTAATTAGTAATTATCACGCAAATAGTGAACGCATGTTAAAAAAATATTTGTGCATTTATTATAAAGATATTTATCATTCATATCTTGATATTTTAATATATTTAAAATTATCACAGTTATACAATTTTTCATAGTCAGTAGAACAATAAACATTGCATTGTAAACATGACGTTACAGCAGTATAATAATTATAAAAATAGAGCTTCTAGCCATAATTATTTTATTATGCAATTACAGCTACAAATATTACACACACATATACATACTTACACATTTCTCTTTTATCTTAAGTACGATCTTGAGACGGTGTACGGTCATTTCATTAACGGAATTAACTGAATGGAATCTTAAGATCGCCCATAATCAGGCTTAAAACGATCTTGAACAAGATTGGAATGAATATTATATGAATGCTATAATGATTTCAACTCTTTACATTTAAACCAACAATTTTATCGTATCTATAACGTCTGTTCATAGCCGGTGGTACAACGCTTGTTCGGTACGGATCGTTTATTGACGTTGGCGATTAAACCTCTGTACGTCAACGACATGCAAAATGCGGAACGAAATTTAAATTATGCGCTACTCTTGAAAAGCTGCCTGGACACCGTTCCGGAATTAGAGGCGATTCTTGCGATCGGTGTTCATCCGTTCTTTGTAAAAACACGAAAGGTTTATGCTTTCTATAGCAGTTACTATAATGTTATATGTTCGCGATTCATTCACGTTGATCACGCGACCAATGGTTTCATGCTTGCAGAATTTAGGAAACTCAGAATTCCAAGTTATGAAGGATAAAATTTTAACACTGATTCATGCGGACGCGAGATTCGTGAAGGGATGCACTTCCTTGAGTATGCAACGGTGTTTCGCTATAAAAAGTGATATCAACGAGTTGTTGGATATCGCTCGCCAAATCTATTGCGAGTTGATTAGCGACATGAAAAGTAAACACGTTACATCAATATATTATATTTAAACCGTAAACCCTAAATAACGAAAATTATTCAAAATTTTGGACTCGATTCAAATTAGATATGGTGGAGCAGTTAGCCGTGAAACACAAGCTTCCATTATCCTTAGAATACAACATAAATTTGGGTTACTATATAAATGTTGTCATACCACGAGGTTCAAACATGATAATCTCGGACTTACCGGCGGAATTTATTCAGGTAACTTATTGCTAATCAACACGGAACATCAATAATAGCTTCTAATTTCGCGATTATACAGGCACGAAAGAATAGGAGGTCCTTCACAATGACAACAACGGCGCTATTAACATTGAATAAACAATGCAAAGACGCTTGCGAGGAGATTTACATGATGAGTAACACGTAAGTTACTCTGTAAAACCTTATATCATCATATTAACTCTTATGTATGGTATACATTGAAAGAAAAATTTTTGGTATTTGCGTCTATGGCCGATATTCATAGTCCGTTCTTATTTCAAGACCATCTTCAAGTATATTTCTTAAGATGCTAATACGGCCTTCTGATTAGTTCGTGACATTTTAAAACTGTATTTAATTAAGACATAAAGAAATATATACAACGATGGGCGTTAGGAGTCAGAGCTGGAAATCAATTGTGCAAAAACTTATACAGAAATAACGTGAAAATTTTAGGACGTTTCGATTTCGTTTTGAGCCATCTTCAGCTCGAAATTAATAAACAATAAATTAAAACCTAATATCATGGAAACGCATCCGTTACAGAAATGCATTTCCACGATATTAGGTTTTAATTATAAAATTTTCGCGTTATTTTTGTAAGTTTTTGCGCAATTGATTTCTAGCGCTGACTCCTAATGCCCAATCGTTGTATATATTTTTTTATGATTTCATTATTAAGTAAAGAAGTCTTTATTAATTGATTCATTGAAATCATTGTATTTAATCTGAATTATTAATTAAGACAGTCTCTCTCTCTCTCTCTCTCTCTCTCTCTCTCTTAAATATAAGAATCAATTATAAATACCGACATATAATTACATGTTACCACAATTATTATATGGTTATTGCTATTATAATAATAATAATAGTAACTATATGTGTAGTTTTATTAACAAATATTTCATCTTTATAAAGTTGTGTATTAAAAAAAGAAAGGATAGAGCCAAATACATTATTTAGCCAGATGTTCTTAGTATTTCAAAGAAAACGAATGCGATGGATACGAATGATCTAATTGTGTGTATTAAGGGTTAATGAGACAATAATTCGTAGATTGTTGACCAATTTACTGGAGGACATCCGACAACACGTCGGTTGTTTATTTCAATTAAGCACTGATGTGGCGGAGTTAGACTTAATTTTATCGTTGGCGCAAATCAGTTCTAATCCAGAATACGTGAGACCGTCATTCGGAGTGAAATTAGAATTAATAAACTCGTTACACCCTATTATGGAATTATTTAACAGAGATCTTCCTATAGCTAACGACGTAGTAAGTTGAACGTTAAACAACTTGTATATCTCGAGAAAATGTATGATATTTTCTTATTTTATGTTGAAACAGAACGCATCGATTACGCATAATTTTCACCTGATAACTGGACCGAATATGAGCGGCAAGTCTACGTATTTAAAGCAGATCGTTCTACTTCAAATCATGGCGCAGGTGACACAAATGATGCATATACTAATGGATGCCCTTCGCATTTATCTTGGATCATTAATTACATAAAATATTCATTATTATGTAATACGTAATAAAACTAAAACACACTTCTGTAAAAGAATCATTCCATCTATAGCGTAATGTATCTATATATAATATTCGATCAGCCAGAATTTTTGCTTGACAAGAGCGTTTCGTAAAACTAGGTAATGAGCCGACATATCGGTATCTCGTACCCATTACTCGCATCTCATTGCAGATCGGTTCCTATGTACCGGCAAGGAAAGCAACGTTCCGCGTTGCAGATCGCATACTTTGTAGGATTAGTTCTCGCGATGACGCCGAGCTTAATGCATCCGCCTACGTCCTCGAAGTGAGCGAGATATTTTATACTTCATATCAAAATATGTATATCAGAATCAGAAAATATAAAATATTTTGTAAATTATTTTTCGATATTCCCACCTCAATACTTTTAAACGTAAACTAAATAGAAGAATCATTTATGAAAATCATATAATTCCATTTTTTAAAATGGCATGACCTCAAAAAGTCGTTTTGTTCGAAAATTGATTTTACCATTATTTATCTCCCTTCAAACCAAATAACTTTTATTTGAAACATGTTTTATAAAAACCATTTCTCACTAAAATGATCAGAACGCTACTCGATTTTAATCGTTTAACAAGAACCGATACTTCCAATGCAAGACTGTTGACATAATTGTACTGCTGATTTGCAGAGTGACGATTAAACGTAATTACTGATGATTTGATTGTTTCAGATGAAGGAGGCACAATACATCCTGCAATCCGTCACACCCAAGTCTCTCGTCATACTCGACGAGCTCTGCAGACATACTACGGTTGAGGAGGGTTCCGCCATCGCTTGGGCGATATGCGAGAAATTATCGCTGACGACCGCGTTCACGTTTTCCGCGACGCACTTTTTACATCTTACCGCGCTGAGCAATATGTATTATAACGTAACAACGTATGTGGAAATTATGGACGTATTACACATACATTGATATAAAAAAAATATATATATATATGATTATAATAGAAATAAGATATTTCTTATATCTTTTGTACTTTTTTTTATAGAGAGATATAAGATATATACTTCTTATATCTTTTTTATTATCTTTCAGCCATTGTTTCGAGACGAAAACCGCGGAGTCGGAAGAATCGAACGATCTGCATCTGATATATACTCACAAATTGAATCCCGGAACAGGACCTACAGATCACTATGGGATCGCTCTAGCGGAAGTATCCTCTCTACCAAAATGCGTTACAATTAAAGCGCGAGAGTACGCGTTCCAGCAATCCGTCAACACACAAAATGTGAGTCTATAAAATATAAATATTCATGAAATTATTGAAAACATGTGATTATTAATAATCATTCGAATATTTTACATTTTAGAATAATTTTCGATCCATCACGAGTTCTTTGTCGTGGGAGAAATCATGTTACAATGCGATCGTTCAGTTACGCGCACTATTGGAGAATAATCGTTTCACTTTCGCAAATATAATAAGTATCATGAAACAATTGGATCTAAGCAAGCAAACGAAAAGAGCGCAGCCAGCGCAAGTTCAAATAAAATCCCCCAACGTCGTGCAGGAATGTAGAGAACAAGAGAAATATGAGGAAGAAAAAAATCTTGTTGTTGCGTCGAATAATAATTTGACGATGACGAGGATGGAAGACGTCGTATTGTTACCAGAATCGGCGAATAAAGATGAACAAAAGGTGAACGAAGACAAAGTCCAAGATGAACCGATGGAAATCGTCGAAAACGACAATTGGAAGGCAGACGAGTCGATACACGATGTCATAGCAAATCAAAAGGCACTTCCATTGCCAGAGACAATCGATAGAAATCCATTCGTTAATCCAAACTCTTCTTTGCAATCTCTGACGAGCGATCCGCGATTTTATGTTTGCACGTCGTTCGCGGCGAGCACCCCGAAAACAACATTGCAACTTTGCGAAGCAAATCTACGATCGAATTTTACTACAAACTCATCGGTAATGACCTCTCCATCGACATCCTTTAACTCTCAGTCCCAATATCACGATTATTGCTTGTCCGAGGGAGAATTTGACATCACTCTACCTAGGTCGTCTCAATCAACCCCGAGCGATATAGCGAAGACGACCGCACGGTCGAAAGAGGCGAAGATTTTTCGGCAGATCGAAGGCGATGACTTTAACGAAGAGAGTTTCTTCAATGATACACAAATAACATTGAAATCAGACTTTTCTACGGATAATGACGTGATGATGTTACCACTGTAATAAACACGTTTTATTATATCGCTGCGTTGAAAAATGACACAAATAAAAAATTTTCGAGATAACGAAAGGAATCAATTTTAAAGACTAGTATTATATTTTTGTAGAAAAATTGATGCTTTAACAAAAAAAAGATAACACGTCTCAAAATTAATAGCTTTTCAGTAAGAATTTTATTTTTAAAATTTTGAATGGGACAATGTTTTAACCCTTTAATGAAATCGAGGTCGAATATTACCCCACGGCTTCCTTAGTCAAATCGTTTTTTATTTTACTGCAATTATTGAAAGTTAGTAGAATTGTATGTTTTCATCTATAAATAAACATTTATTCATCTATAAATAAAAAAGGAAAAAGAAGTTTGATGTTATTATTTATTTTACCTGTTACTTTTTTTATCCATTTTGTACATTGATAAAAAATGAACAAAATAAAGCTTTTGTTCATTTTTCATTTTTTGTTGAGTTGAATCCGATTTCCATCTTTCTGGATACGTTCTGCAAGTCCACCATATCGTTAAAAAGTGAGTATGCAGTTTCTATAACTTCATTTCCTTTTCATGTTATATTTTCAATTATAATAATGTGTTCTTTAAAACTATATCATAAATTTTCAAAATTTGAACATTCCCACACAGCAGAAATATCCTGAATATATTATACGGAGACATCCTACAGATATCTTTAGGCTGTCTCTGTGATATAATTTAGACTTTTCTGCTGTCCTATTATAGTGTACATTTTATTCCTTATCAGAGTTGTAACATTTGTCCATATAAGCAATGTATTGACAAGTGTATCGTTTTTCCACAAAAATATACTAGTTTTTAAGGACGATTTTCTTTCATCATTGGCTGCGTTCAGCAGAGAAAACTAATCAGTTAGCGCTTAATGATTCTTTAATATAATTGGTTCCTGCATTTAGATCCAGTGAAGAACTAAAGGCAAGAACCAATCATATTAAAGAATCATTAAGCGCTAACTGATTAGTTTTCTCTGTTGAACGCAGCCATTATTTAAAAAATGCTTATTTTTTACTCAATTTCAAAAATATATTAATTTATTTGTGTTCATGTGGTAATAAAAATATTAATTAATTGACGGTCTCGTTTTTTATTTATTCCCTTATCATATCTGTAGAAAACATGCCGCATGCGTGCCAATTGCCGCCAAATTCACATTAGCAAGACGAACATATGAGTGCGCGAGACGAAGACCTCCTCACAACGAAATTGACAAGACACGAAATTGACAGGTTCGTTTTCGAGGAGATACATATAAAAATTACAAAATCGAGTAGCTTCACGTAATGAAGACGAAAGGGCGATAATGATCTTCGAACGGTCGACAGTTGTTTTCAATATCGCAAAATCGAAGTATAAAGGTTAAACTCCAGGGAACGAGACTTTCACGCGAGAATGTCTACTGACCTGCTACCGGAATCAGTGAACTTGTTTCTCGACGATTTCGAGACCAGTCTCTGCCTACCCATTCTCGTGGTTATGGTGCTCTGCACTGCTCAATTCGTATTTAATCACGTCTTCGGTATCGGATACACGATCTATCAGAGCGTAAAGAAGCCAGCGACGGAGGAGGAAGAGGAGCAGGATAAAACTAATATGATGGGAAAACTTAAAGGTCTAATGTCAAGCATATATGTTCTACGTGCCTCTCAAAATAGCATATAATATATAATGGTTACATATTCAAAACCTACAAAGGATAGACAAAATAATGTGAAAAAAATATACTATCTACTCGTTTTATTAATAGAAATTGGTCTACCATTTGTCATTAATACAGATTCTATCCTTGTCGGAATAGAGTCACACACACTTAAATAGTATAACAACTGCTACAGTGCAATATATTATATCATTCTTTTAGCAGAACATCTTCTAATTGCTTAAAAGCCTTAAAAGATATTGGAGGAAAAAAATAGTTTCTAACTCTGCTCTTTAAATCTACGAATAATATTTAAATCAGGCATTGACCAGGAAAAATATTTTGGGGAACAGAAAGGCAATTTTGAAAAATAGAGTAAATAGAAAATTTCCTTCTCCAATATCATTTATTGCCTCTAATATGATTTATACGTATATGCAATTGAAAGATATTCTACTGAAAGAATAGTACAACATTCCATTGAAAACTATTCAAGCATTAAATGGTTATTCCACAACAAGCATAAAATGTGTTTATGAAAATCAAATATGTAGGTAGTATCAACTTATTGAAATAAGTGATATAATAAACAGTGTATTTCTCTCAGGTGTTTGTATCATTTTGTTTATCCCGTGACTTTGTTTCTGGTTCGTTAAGTTCTCGTGAATATTTAACAATTCCATGAGAGTTACGTGTTTCGTCAAACGTGTAAAAAGTTGATCGAAAAATATCTTATTTAAACGGCATTCTATTCCAAATACTTGTAACTTTAAGAGGTCAAAGTATCACCGCTGTCACAATAATTCACAAAATTTTTTATATAACGTAGGCGTTCATTGATTAACACAAATCTCTGTTCTAAATCCACCAGGAATGCTGACCACTCTAGGTATCGGAAAACCCGATACAGTAACTACGACTCCAATTAGAAATCCATTGTTACCAGGTTACAATACTCAATCTCGTGAGGAGGAATGGGATTACTGTGAGGAGGATATTGAATGAGATAACAAAACATTCTTATGTATGCCATTACAAGTACAATATAAAGTGCATAGTAAACAAATAAAAGAGTATCTTAAACAATCTTTTCCTCATTTTTGTCAGTTTCAAATATTTACGTAGAATAACTTGAGGATATAAAAAGAGATACTCATTTTGAGATCCAACGATCGATTCGTTCACGATCATTAGCATTGATAAGAGAAAATAATCAAACGTGGCTTAGCCGATATTTTTATGCTGCGTACATTTGTCTTCGATAAGCGTCGTCTAAGGTCCAAGTTTTAAAGCGCATAAGTAGTGGAACGTGGAAGTGGAGAAGAGGAGACTGGTCGAAGACACGAGAATGGATCAAGGCTAACAGCTCGAAGCTCTGTTAGCTTCCACGTATATCGCAAATGAAGCTTAATTAAGTCCACTTAAAAGAACCGACCAAAAGCAAAAATTGTCAGGCTATTGTTGATCAAGGAACACACATACTTTTGACACTTCGCTGTCTCAGTCTTGCTCTTCGGAAGCATTATCGGCGAGTTGAATCTCAGATTAATTGTTTCCACATCGTAAAATGAAAAAAAAAAGTGTACGCTGAACTATTTCCACATTCATTCATGCGAGATGTCTAAATTTTCTTAGACGGTGCCAATCCGAGACGAGGCCAACGCCTAGCGATCTCGATGTTTTGCACCGCCGCGCCGCATGGCCTTGCAATTACACTCGGATATGCGAAAACGTCACGTGTGAAATATCACTCTGTTGTTGAAAAACGATTTGCTACGCGTTCGCGCACAACGTCCTCGAGAAATTGTGTTTACACGACCGGCAGATTACTATTATTGCCCACAGACGCAATTTACATAGTTAACAATGAACTAGGTTCAGATAAATGTTGCATTATGCGTGTATGCGTAAGATAGACTGGTAATTCACGTAGACTGGAAACTAATTCTTGGGATTCTTTCGAGGTCAAAGCACGCATATTATATTTGTACAACTGACTTTCTAACGAATCGGGGAACGAGAACATTTGCCATTTTGCCAATAAGTCTTTTGGCAATAACTTGTTCTCTTACATACTCCAACCAGCTTTCCAAGCAACTGACAAAAGTGTGGAAATTAAAGAAAGCAACATGCGTAAAAATATTATAACTTTGACCAATTAGAAAAAGTTAATTAATTCAACGAAACAAAGCTCAATGAAAAATGAACTTAAGCGCAAGAAGAACAAGAGGTAGAAATAAATAGTAAATATATATATTACAATTTTTTTTTAAATATTATTATATTTCTCTCTCTATATTTAATTTTATATAATATATGTGCACTACGTGTAACTCTTTATCTCTTCTGTTTACATTATTTATCTTATACGTTACGTACGGTATTTATATATATATATATATATACGAAGGACGCCTGCTTAAAACGTCCAATTGAATTAGATTAAAAAATCGATATAGTCCAATTGCTTTTTTAGTTCGTAAATCAGGTTCTTATCTGATATATCTGATAAATTCTCTTTTCTTGTTCTTCTCTTTACATCGCACTGATAAAATGTAAGCAGTTTATCGATAAAAAAACAATTCTTTCCTTGACTCAGATTATATTCCGAAATGGATAGGAAACAGTTCTATTTGTATTACATATATTTTGTCATATCTGTCTTGAATAGATCTTTTTTCGCGAACAAGAAATATGTTTATGCAAGAATTATGATTGGTCATAATATTAAAAAAATGTTTTTAAGGCTTGGCTATCTTGAGGTGCCATATTAATCATATGACGTCAGAGATGGAAAATGACATGTAATAAATTAATAAAATAATTGCTATGCAAAGCTTTATTTTTTAATTTTTACTTAAAATATAACAATTTTGTAATCCTGAAACCAGTAAAATATGTACCAAATTGAAACATCTGTCCGATATATCACATAGAAGTGTAAAATAATTCCTGAAATAATGATGTATTTCTCAGCTGTCGAAAAACCGCAGCGGCGATATTGATAACTAACTAATTGTAAGTAATGTACCATTATTTTAGGAATTATCTTATGGTGAAACTAGAGGCGATAAATTTATTTCAGAAAAAGGAATGAATGGATATAATTTTTCGTTTATATAAATATACATATATAATTTACTACTACTACATTTAAAATATAAAAAAATACAAAATTTATGAATAAAAGAGTTTTTTGCCTCTTTTAAAGACAGACAAAAAATTGTGAGTTTTGCTATGATTCTGTGACTCTTAAGGAAGCATTTTGTTACTTTCTGGTTTAATTTTCCTTATGATATTTTATTCTAAAATAGAATATTAGAAAAAAATAGAAAAATATTAACAAAATTGTAATAACATAAATAACTTTAATTATTTTTATGCAAAAATTAATATTTTACGTTTATGTTATTGTTACCATTTTGTAATAACATTTTTCTAACGGTATTTTTGGTTCAACATTCTGTAGAGTAAAATGCATTGGTATACATCTTATGACTATACTTAAGATGGTTAATCCTAAATATAAGATCCAACTATGAATATCACTCTTAATATCCTGTATATATTCTCTCATATTCTGGTCGATATAATGTACATACAACGACGATGTTATATTACGACCTTTGACCTATATACATACATATATATATATATTTGCGTTACTATAAGCGTATTACAGAAATTTCTCTATAAAATACGAGGTACAAAAAGAAAGACGCACAACTCGCGGCCAGGATAACAATTGCAAATTTTTCGTTCGTCTATATGCATCACGCCTGGTGTGCCACACCTTGTATTCATACCGAGATCTCCTGCAGTGCATTAATTCGTGCGAAAGTTAAACGTTAAAATACTCAGCCGCGCGAAAAGTTCGCCAAGTGTTGGAGAGGAGAGACGAGCACTCCTCGCAACCGTGAAGAAAGTCGAACCATATAACCGACGATGCGTGGGAGGGCATTAGTTACGAAGCAACGGCAAACAAGTCGACGAGCAGTACCGTTATCCACGTGATTTACAACGGCAGTGATCTACACGAGCCGCGGGGGAAGAGGGGGAGGAGGGAAGAAAAAGTGCGTCGCGCCTTCCCTTTAAATTCATAATGTGAATTAAATCCAATTTGAATCGTTAATTCTAAGCTGCGTTTAGAAACATCACCCGGGTGCCCCCATGTATCGTTTTATCCTTATTTAACATTGGGTGAATAACAAGGATAAAACGACACGCGAGGGCACTCGAGTGATGTTTCCGAACGCAGTCCTAATCATTTCTATAGGTCGCCACTGCAGCTAACCGTACACATTATTAATTTGACTAAAACAATAGAATTAAACAATTTAACATTTAAAAAGTGTATTAAATTTGAGTCAAATTTAATTTGTTATTTACTACATTAAGAAAAAATGTACTAAATTTTAATAAATATTTGTTTGAATAATGGCAGTTGAATATTCACTAAATATAAACGAACTCATATTTATTTGGTACAAGAACCATTAATTTAATTTAACTATTATATCTTTTTATTCTGCAAATATTTATTTTCCATAAATAAATGTTATATTAGTATTATTCCAGGAATCATTTATTAAAATTTAATATATTTTTCTCTGTGTAAGTGCACGTAAAAAAATATTCGGTTAAATTGACTAGAATTCTGAAGAAAATGAACGATCTAGAATTCTGGTTGAGTCTACTGAAACTCTAAGAGATTTAATCAGAATTCTGGAGATCGTTCATTTTCCACTAGAATTAGTTCATTCGACCAACCATTTTCTCCGAGTATACATGTTAATATAAATGTTTATTTCGAAACTAATCACGGAAATGAATTGATTTACATTTTGACACATGGAAGTTAAAAATGGCAAAATATTGTTTAATTCAAGAGATTGCGTTGTCATTATTCCTTTGATATTTAACAGTACGCGCCCAGACACGATTAGTGCGTGGCTGACCACGCAACACCGGACGGACGAATAGTCGCGGCAATCGTTACGATCTGTGAAAGCGGAGCCATGCCATATCGTACAATCGATGGGAGCGTTTATATGCGTGACGGCGTACACGGGGAGAATGTGTGTACGCTTGCTTGCTTACTTGCTTGCTTACTTACTTACGCCGTATATAATGTAACGTATGCAAAGCGTAAGGGCGAGTAATTTATGCGCCGTACGTGTTTACGAAGCGCGTATGTAGGGGAAAGTTGCCGAATGCGTACTGGTCGCTTAAATCGTACCTCATCAATATTTTATATTATCTGTTAATATAGGCAATATTTAGTAACAATAATATAAAATATATGAGAAATTAGTAATATAGACAAAAATATAATATCCTACGTCTTGTTTTATGGACATTAGCGGCGTTTTAAAAAATCAGGTACATATCTGATATTAATTTTTAATCAACTTATGTAGTTGATAACAACGCGATCATCCAATTTTATTATAAATTTTTGTATTTTCATGAAAGAAGATTTATTGTAGAATATTTTATATTCACTGTATATACATCTTTGCAACCATTGTAAGCATTAAATCGATATTTGTACAAAATCCATCAAATTTCCTAAATCGTACCATCAAAAGATAAGACTGATAACTGACAATAATAAAACTAATAATTGATATCAATATAAATGTCAAGTGTAAAAATATATTTAAGCCAATTTTATTTTGGTGTTATTTGTTTTTTCATTATTGTTATTTAATAATTATAAAATATTTGATTTTCTTCAATAAATTATTAAAATTAGGTATTAATTAATTATTAGGTATTAGTTAATGATTTCTTTTATTAATCTTATATTTTTAATTGTTTTCATTCATAAATTCAATACTTTCAAAGGAAATATGATAAAAAGTACCTATAGGTACGATTTAGATGACCGGTTGCCTAAATCGTACCTTTTGCAGCATGTTACGAAAAGACTTATAACAAATGAATTTGTTATTGGTGGAAAGTTAAACATGTAATAATAAACGTCCAATACCTCAAGCTACGATTTCTAATGTTCATTTGCATACAAAACAATGCCAAATGGAAAATATAATAAAAAATAGGTTAAGTGGTACG